TGATACACTATATACCGGGTGACAAAAAAAAAACGTTCATCAATAAAAATCGAATAACTTCCAAAATTTTATTTAGATTAACACAAAAATTCAGCTACATTAGGTTAAGTCTATGTAGCAGCAGACATCTCCAAAGTTTCAAGTGTGTACCACAAAAACTCTTTGTTTAACTGGCGCTCAAAAAATGTGCTCTAAATGAGCTCCACGGTGCTGCAAGCACATTTTTGGATCCGGCGGGCAAAGTTCTCGATGACCCTGCCACATTCTTCCCTTGAGATCGCTTTTATTGCTGCTGTGATTGCTGCCTTCAGATCAGGGATAGTCTGGGGGTTGTTGCCATTCACACTCTCCTTAAGGTATCCCCACAGATAAAAATCTGTGAATGCGGCGGATCAGTCGGTCAGGGAAACACTGCTGTAGCCATGCACATGATTCGTTTGAGGTGTGGGGGTGGCACCATCCTGCTGGAACCACTGGAGGTCCCTGACGACCCCTCTTCGTCGACCAAGTTTAGGTGATGAACGCTTTTTTTGTGTCACCCGGTATTTCTTCTTGAGAGAGAGAGAGAGAGAGAGAGAGAGAGAGAGAGAGAGAAATGGAGTTTAACGTCCACTCGACACAAACTAGGTCATTTCGGGACTAACACCTGCTTCAATTTTATTTCAATAAATCGCTAGCGCGTAGGGGTCTTTAGCAGTGGGAGGAAACTGGAGGACCCGGAGAAAACCCAAGAGGTTGGACAGGCGACCATTCTCCTTGTCACGTACAACCAGGGAATCGAAATCACGCCAGCTGAATCAATGACAGACGCTATGATATACAACGCGAACGCGCTAACCATATTTGAATAGATTATCCACCCTAGATATTTCTTAACAATATATACGAATATATAGTATCCATTAAAATTTATAATTATGATTAAGTAGACATGCACTATATATATTATTTTTCTGATTAAATACTTATATATTCAATATTTCTTATTTCACTATGCCCAAGGAGCCACAATGGTACAGTGAGGAATTTCTTGCGTGATTTCCCCATGTCAGTGGTACAGGGCGGAGGGTGGCAAGTACTGCGTCTAGTCTTTCGGGTGGAACGAAAAAACTAGCCCCCACCCCCATCCCGTATACCTTGGCCTGCACGAAAAAGAATCCTTAAGCAGACCATGACGCTACTGCCCAGGGTATTTCCGTCTTCATTAGCCCACATAGAACAGAACAACTGGTTGCTAAAGTCCATTTCATTTTCATTATACTCATTCCAGTCTATACGTGGCGCCAATATCCACTTAAAATTATTCATTTTTAATAACTCTGGAATAACTAGACAGTCATTAATGGTAATAAAATCTAGACACAACATATGTACCACCAGCGTCTGTTTTGCTTCTTTTTTTTTGTTTTCTAAAACCAGAAGATCTATATGTATGATAACCCGATTTTTTCTGACCTCGGATATAATAAATATTTTATTTGAATACAGTATAAATTTGATATTTATTCATAATGTCTAAAGTAATCATTTTAAAATCTTGGATTACATTTCATAAGTTTTGGGGATCATATTCATTGTTAGATCATGGTGAGATAATGGCGGAAGCTGTGGCGACCAATATTGTTTGGCGTATGTTAAATGGTAGGAATCCACAGTGCGGGGTTTGATCCCGGCTCTGATAAGTACCATACTTTGAATTCATAGGGTTAAGGTTAATGCCAATTATCATATATCATGTTTATTATATATTAGATATTATTCCAATATGTTACAATTCTGTATTTCACTTATTCCACTGATATCATATCCCAACCCTTGTTTTGTTACTTCAAAAGTATTAAAACTAATCCTTATAATTTTAGAAATGGTGAATATATTTTGAGGTATAATATTTTGGGCCAGTATCACAGAAAGTGTGAAGCATTAACCAAATAACAGTTTTGTTATGACAAGATTATAATTGTATAAAAGTTGATTTAATAGAGATAGGGAGCTTCGCTACTCTCAGCTTCAATCTAATAAACATCAAGATATACATATCACATTATAATTTATATCACAGGGGTTATAACACCTTTATGTCGCACGTCCATGGATGTCAGACATTCTAATACATTTTATTTACCACGTTAAGTAATATAACCGAGATTATATTACGTATGTTTTATATGGTAACCATGACAATTAGCAATAATACTACGTCATTTAGTTTGGATTTTTAGAATGAATTGTTATTAGTATCATCAGTAATACTCATAATACCTTGATGGACATACTACACGTACTTATTTTATCAACTGGCGTAGTTTCGATTCCCCGGTTGTACGTGACAAAGATGTAGGGTCGCCTGTCCAACCTTGTGGGTTTTCTCCGAGCCCTCCGGTTTCCTCTCACTGCTAAAGACCCCTATGCACAAGCGAATTATTGAAATAAAATTGAACCATATGTTAGTCCCGAAATGACCTAGTTTGTGTCGAGTGGACGTTAACACACACACACACACACACACTCTCTCTCTCTCTCTCCCTCTCTCTCTCTCATAAGGTTAATGAATGAAAGTAAAAAAAAAAACAGGAAACGATTTTCCCCCGTTAGTCCGTGTAACCCTCAAGTACCAATAGAGACAGACAACTGATACAAATCTCTATTTACATTTAATAGGCATATAAATTATGACCAACAAATCAAATACAGGGGTTTAGAATGGTTTGGTTCTGTCTGACCTTGTTGTTTTTGAGTACGGGGTTTGCTGAAAAACAAAAAAAATAAATTTCATAAGATAAATTAAGTTTTAATAATTTCAAAAGTCCACGTGGTTCAGTTTTATATCCTTAAGATTTTTGCTTGTGTAGTAATGATATGACTATTGAGAGGGTTTCGAGCAGCAATTGTTTGAGCTTTTCTGATTTATATAATTAATCGTTTTCTTGTATTTCAATACGTCAAGCTGCTCACGCAAAACTATTGTATAACATAAACTTGTCATGTTTGAAAAAATGTTTTTCACTCTGATTCTGTTGTGCGTATGTTTCTATGTTGGTCTAAGAAATGTTTCCCCCGAGGGAAAAAATAGTCGATCTCAAAATAAGTGCTCACTGCAGTCGGTCTCAGACTAAATGATTTAATGAAGTAAAACAATTCCGAAATAGAAGGGAAACATTCCAAAATCCGTGCACTTTAATTGCATATACGTCACCCTACTCACGCAAAACTATAGTAGAGACTTTGGGCATGCGAAATTTTTCCCATCCGTATCACGTATCCGTAAAGTATACGTGATACGTTGCGTCAATGCAGTTTTTGAGTTTTGGCAGATTTTCGCGTACGTTTGCATCGCTGAGCTGAGCTTAGTTTTATTACAGCATGATGGCAGATATCTACCAAGATCATAATCTAGGAAGTCACGATCAAATTCGGATTAAAATTGTGAACTCTAGAGGGTCCACAACCTTGATATACCATGTTTTACACTATTTGCGTACGAGGAGCGGCCATTTTGGTGTAACGGTGATATATTCGAACCTTTTTTTTGAATAGGATAAAAATTGTGTTCTGTAAAGGGACCACAAGCTAAAAACGCGATTTTTCATACAATCAGGGGTCATTATCCAGGAGGTTTCGATCCGATATGCGCGAATATCGAAAGGGACTAGGATCTTTGGGTTATAAACATACATTTCATGTTTCATCATAATCGGATGAAAATTTTGACCTCCAAAGTGTCCACAAGATAAACACGTGATTTTTCGTACAATCAGAGGCCATAATCCACAAAGTTACGACCCGATTCATGCCAATTTCGAAACGAATTATGATCTACGGGAGATAGACCTATATTTCAAGTTTCGTCAAAATCGGATAAACATTGTGACCTGTAGAGTGCACACAAACAGACGTCTGGACGGAGAGGGGCGACGACAATATACGTCAACATGAAAATGTGGATGTATAAAAAATATTTAAATTATGAAATGTTAAAGCAATCTAGTGAACTTATGAATTTTTATTTGTTGCATATTCAATCCCAGTAGAAATATTAAATCGTATTCTACTTATGTTATAAATGTTTTCTGTCCATCAGAATTCTGCAAAATCTTCCCCCAATGTCCAGGAAATGGCATTTCAAGGGCTCTAGATTCAAAAAATTTCGGGGGGGGGGGGGGCCTCTAGAAAAATCGCACTTGCGGTGCTAGGCTCCTGACAAAGTTACTCGTATTAGGGGCAAGTAGATTAGTCGTCGCAATTTTTGCTACCCCCCCCCTCCAACGAAATCGTTATGTACGCCCCTGATCCTTACACATGGATTTCAGAAGTCTGGACGATTTCATTAATGACCACAAGCAGAGACACAGGTCAAGGTGTATCGATAGAACGTACAACAAAAATTATTATCCATATATATATCGTATCTGGATTCGGACCAAAGCTTAATGGGTTGTTTACGGGGTTGACTTATCATTAAAAGAAACATTGAGGGGTGTCCAGTTTGCGAGGTGAATAATTATCTTAAAACAATGTCTGGAGGTGCTATGCCACCAATCACGCCATGTCCATAACAATGGAAGGACGCAATATCATCGTGATAATCAACTTTAACAAACGTCATTATTCCACTTTTTCATTAGAAATATTACCCGACTATCGTTTAATCGGTATAGTAACATGATATCTATTTCACCTTCCGTGTAGATTGAGCCACCTACAGTTGGCTTTCTTATACATGTACAGGGTTAAACAATACGACGTATTTCATGAAATGGGATGAGGTATAGTTTTGATAAAGACGCGTACATATGAAACGCGACCATTGAAATAAAGACAGTTCACATTTATCTTAATATAATTCAAGAGCATGGATACGTCGTCTGGACAGGAATTTATGGTTTGTTAGAGTAACACTATTCTTATGGAGAGAAATTTATTTTTTGGAGACGGTGTCAACAGTCAAGTTATACTGATTTCAAATCTTATATTTATTTATGTATTTATATATATTTTAGGGACAGTTACCCCCGTCTGTGTTAAGTGGGTGTATGAGGACAGATGATAATAAAGAGCAACCTGTAAAAGTTAAACGTAAATGTGGTCGACCTCGCAACCCAATACCAAGACATAAACGTGTTTCACACATCAATGCTGAACACCGAAGACGGGGTAAAATTCAGGTAAATTCGATAAATATGCCAGTTATGCAATATACGCATAAGAAACAAACGAAATAGAACGCAGCTATGGCCAACCAATAGGGCCAAGAACACCGAAAAGCTGACATATAATTAAATGAAATGCGGTTTAACGTTCGACTTTTCTGCTCCATCCTGGCTAATGAAGATGGGCATACGCCATGCAATGTGCTATTAGGCAACTTTTTCCCGAACAGCGGCGGTAAGGCATACTCTTATCTCGAATTCAATATGTTAAGGGTTCTTTTACGTGTATGCCAATGTGTACACGAGGCCTCGTTTTTTTATCCATCCGAACGACTAGACACTATTTCTTGCAAGCACCCCCCTCCCCCCATCCTGCATCACTGGAAAACCACGCCGGAAAATCCAGATAACATTTCTCGGCCAACACTGAGAGAGAATCCAGGAATTCCTGATTACTAACTGCGCCACCGCGACTTCCGAAACATAACGTAGTGACAAGAACGCGGAAAAGCTGACACATGAACACCCGAAATGAATGTCTCCAAATATTTAGTGATCGGTGAAAAACAGAAGAATAGCATATCATAAGAGAAACCATACAGAGAAACTGTTCCCTCTGAGGAGACTCAATATCCAATCTTGATTCGTAACTGATGTCTGTATTATGTATGATATAAAAAATCTATTACATTTATTTTAGAATTGTTTCCGAACGCTTAAGAATATGGTACCAAAATATGGCGAGATCACGTCCGGTAGAGACAGCAAATCAGATATTTTGTTCAAAGGTAGGATAAAAATTATATAATTTACAACCTTAGTTCAGTACCAAACAGGACAACGTTCCCACCATCGATAGTACTTGTATTACTTGCAGTGCTGTGTGCGAGGATGTGTTTGTCTTGTAGCGGGAGCTACGGTGGCTAAGGCGCTGTGGGTAAGGCGCTGGCTCGCTAGACTGGAGATCGCGGGCTCGCTTCCGGTGTTCGCCGAGAAAGTTCATTGTGATTTCCAGGGTGGTTTCCCCTTGTGAGTGGTGCAGGACATGGGGCCTCACAAGGACAGATTTCTATGTCCCGTGTACACATAGGCGTGCACGTAAAATATACCTTGGCAGTCGGCAGTCGATATAAGAGTAGACCGTAGCGCCGCTGTCCGGGCAAAATTTCCCCTGGAGTATTAGCCCAGTTGGAACAGAACAGTAGGACGTTAAATCCCATTTCATTTCATATTTTCATTTTGTCTTGTAGGCTTGTCCACTGGGTTTCTATTCGGTTGCTATCTCTGTACTTATTATTGGAAACATTATATGTAAAGACTATGATTGTTATCTTTGTTTTTGTACAGCTATAGACTACAGTAAGAAAATATTAGCTGAATCGGAAGAACATAAAACCTCCATTGAATCCCTAAAACAAGAAATCGCCATACTTAGTACAGAAATAGAGTAAGTATTAATATAACACAAAGCCCTTAATGGAATGAACTTTTAATGTACCCTATGTTTAAATGTACAATAAAATAATTTGCGGACACGGTTGATCCGGAAACATTTAAGCAAAAAACATGATTTAAGTACTTCCTTTGAGTTTTATGCTTTTGGATGTTTCATATTAAAGGGACAATAACACTCTTGCTGGCTTGACAGCTCCAGAAAATAAAAAATAGCCTTATTCTAAGTACTAGATGTGTTAGTGTCCTACCTGTTGTGTAAATTATCCATTAAATCCTATTTTACTTGTCCAGAGGGTTCAAAAATATTTTTAAATCCAAGTCACATTTGAAAAGCTTTACGTCAGGCTTTTCAAATCATTTATTTGAATTTTTCCAATTTTTTTTAAATAAGGTGTGTTAAGATGAAATTTGTATCATCAATTAATTGGAATATTGTAAAATAGTACAATTTGTTGACCAGAATAAAGATTGGGACATATTATTCAGTTACAACAAGAGTGGTATTGAGCCTTTAATGAGCCAATAGTGACAGCGAACCATAAGGGGGTTGACATTACATTACATAAATTTCTTTTGTGTCAGTGTAAACCTTAGCCAACTGCGAGATAGAATCCTATTCTTTATATAATCTGCATGTATATAGTTTGTTATGGTATTGAAATATCCCCCCCCCCCCCGAGCGATTTGACTCGTATACCCAGTACCACAACTATATTACTTCAATTACCGAAAGCAGTGTTTTGAATTGTCAATTTTGTTTTTAAATAATGTTAAATGTTAAATGTTAAATTATTCCTTTTGCAGAAGTTACCAAACATTTTTACCAGAAGGAAATTTATTTGACGACAATGTGTATACTTTAAATGATAGATTAGAAGATTATATTCAACAACGAACTCGAGATAATTGGAAATTTTGGATTGTATCCTTCCTGTAATGAAATATTAAAGGCAGTTATCCCCCTTTTGGTGTTCGTTTTGCCAAAGCTTTCTATTTCGTGTTTGTCTTTAACTTTTTAACTATTTTTACATGACCGTTTTGGGGCGTTTCTTTGCCTTTTTAGGGTTTAGGTCGGGGGAACATAATTATCCAAGGTTACCATTACTAATTTAACTGCCAATCCCCAAGGGCGTGTAAAAGCTGTAACATTTCATCTCGGTTATATTAATTGCAAGTAACTGTGACCTGTGGGCAGGCGATACAGTGTAATACTATTGTCCTTGCAACCATATTGTAACTAATCATTTGGTTCACGCTTTCTTTAGAGTCAAATCAGGCGTACTTAATTAATTGAGTGATATATTTATATATAAAAAACAGTGCTATTACGGTAAATTACTTACCATCGTCAAAATATCCATCCAATACCATCTTGTTTATGACATGTGTTTGGTAGACCAAATAAGGTAATGTTCTCCCCCCCCCCCCGCGTTCTATGGGAATGGAAATGGAAATTAACGTGTTAGAGGGGTGTTGAGCAAAATTCATCAGAGCTCACCCAGATATTCCGAGCAGCTATCATGTATGCTTTATTGAGAACGAGAAACATCGAAGCTAAACAGTTTAATAATAAAATTCTAGAAACGAACTAACCTGTAGTTTTAATTACGATCACAAAGGAAACACAACAAGGAGGTCCGATATTGCTACAACAGTCACTTCAAATTTATGGAGCGGGGTGGACAAGTATAGACTAAAACGTACGCCTTAGATAATGGTTGATCGTGGTTTCACCTGCGCTAGCATGAGAAAATGGTTTAATGATATACAATACGTTATTCCCTAGTTTGGATAGGATAGGAGTGTTTTAAATCTTAATATTTTTTCTTAACATTTGATCAGTTCAGTTTTTTCATTCGACCCTTGTTCGATTCATTTAAAAATTCCGTGATAACCACCACGATGGATGGGTTCTATCGTTCTGTTATGGATTGGTCGTGTGTAAATCTGTCTTTAGCTAATTTACGGACAGGTAAGTGTTTACGATTATTGTAAATTATACCATTCTGATCTCTCGGTTCTAATACCGGTATGAAAGGCGTGTCTATAGTCGTTCAAATGTGATCAAAACGATGTCCGGTCCTCAAGTAGAAGTGTATGTAAATGTTCCATTGACAGTCAGAATTCGAAGTACTGTAAGTGGAATCACCACTGCCCGGACCCAAATCAGCCCATTTGCATTCGTCAACAGTGAAATACCATATTATTTTATGCCTCAAAAGGACCGAAGGAAATCCCTTCTCGCATAGCAAACAATTAATAATGATTTATCATTCAGCTTATTACCTGATACAACAATGTATAAAATATCATGGAGGTGAATATTTTCAGTGGAACGGGTAAACGCAAGGCATTGTTTCTCACCACTTTATCTAGGCGACATTGCGGATAAAGCATAAAGCACCAAAGGGCATTGTTATAATATTCGTGGTATAGTGGTATGGAATAAACTACTGTAAAGACTCAATAATCGTATATCACGGTTCCCACCATAGTTTTCATTGCGAAACACTTGTTCATTGTATTGCAGAGATAAATTACTAGAAAAGGGTATAACGTATAGCAACAATAGGTCACCGTACTATCTGTCCTAATATAACAATGTATTTGTTTTTATTTTCAGTAATGTTTGGTGCTTTACGTCAGATAAGTACAGACACATCTATAATGACTGATCCAAACTATATACCACATGAAGCTCTAGCACAAACAGGAAATATATTTGATCAGAACGTTTATGATCTTAATCCAAATTTGAACCCTGATCCCGATTTTGGCCTTATGCAAATGTGTTATACATCTTTGTAGCATTGTACATATGGTATGTAGAGCGTATCATTATAAATATGTAAAACTGAATGACATAAGTTATAATTATGTGTTTCATTGTGGCAGCAGGAAAGAATGCAGTGTATAAGGATGCGTACTCAATTGTGATTTTCATATGTAAAACACTTAAAATCATGGTGCAGTTTGTCCATGCAACGAATCTGAGACCTGTTGAAGTCAATTCTGTGATCTATCTATATGGTTACAAATTACCGGAATCCCAAGAATGGCAATTTGATTAATGGATAATATTAATAAATAACAATGGTGACATGATACTGTGAATCACGAATAAACATAGTAAAGAACCCTTTCGCAAAATGTGACTACATGTTTATAGATTGTTCTTGCCTTATAAGGAACAATACCAAGAAGAAATTGGAGACCAAGATTTAATATGGACTTTATAATGTTTGGTCAGCAGTGCGTCTGTTTTTTGGTCCACTGCTATTGAAATTTATTTGATGGCTCGCGAACCTCTGCAGTGCAGTGGGACATAAAAGAGTCATCTGTCCAAATTTTTAATTTCTTCGATCACATTTCGGGATGTTTTCTCCCTTTTCAGAGTTTTCAATAGTTTTATTTGGTGAAAAGCTCTTTAATAGATCAGCATGAAGTCCAAAACAATTACTAGAAATTTGCTACTGATGGTGTATATAAGTAGGATAGTATGTTGATTGAAAGATATGACGCAGTTGACATGAATATTGTTTTTTGGGATTTTAAGTTATGGAAACTACTTCATATCGCTGACAGTTTCTACAGCTGTTTTATTAAAGTTAATTAAAACTTGATAATGATCTATATAAATCATCCGAGGTGCATCTTCTTTTCCCTTCGGAATCATTCTTATATCATAATACTCCACATATGAGTAAATAAAACCATTTTTTTTTATCAGTGCCAAAGGGAGATAATCTATACTATAATTGCAAATACGAATTTCCAAGACTTTATTTCATGTCTTACTTAGAAATTCTGGTATTTTAAATTCAAAATTCTGTAAAGTTAATATATTACTTACATGCACGCTTCTCAAGTCCATGACTAATTAATTGTATCTGTACTATTTGTGACACTATTTTAATATGTTGAAGACTATTGAATTATATTTTATGCATTTATATATTTACATACTGATATTTATCATCATTAAATTTATCATGATTGTTTTGTTTTGATATCATTTATTTTGTTACCTACACATATCTACTAATAAATTGTTAAATTTTACATTCTGTTTCGTTAGTTTTTATGCTGTAACAATAAATAAACCAAGGGGGGGGGGGGGAGTTTAACGTCCACTCGGCACGGACTAGGTCATTTCGGGACTAACATATGGTTCAATAATTCGGTTGCACATAGGGGGTCTTAAGCAGCGGAAGGAAACCGGAGGCCCGGAGAAAACCCACGAGGTTGGACAGGTGACCCTACTCGTTGTCACGTACAGACGGGGAATCGAAACCACGCCATTTGACCCAATGACATACCTTATGATCTAAACCAGTGGTTCTTAACCTTTTTTGCCAACGGCACACCTTGCAACACATGAAAAAATAGCGGCACACCTGGGTAAATATACTGTATATGAGAGAGAGAGAGAGAGAGAGAGAGAGAGAGATGGGGTTTAACGTCCACTCGACACAAACTGGGTCATTTCGGGACTAACATATGGTTCAATTCCATTTCAATAATTCGCTTGCGCGTAGGGGTGTGGGGGACCCGGAGAAAACCCACGACGTTGGACAGGCGACCCTACTCCTTGTCACGTACAACCGGGGAATCGAAACCTCTTATATACATTTTTAGTTTGTGGACTCTCTAGAACCCACGGTTTTTATTTAATTGTAAAAACCGTTCAAATACATCACTTTAATAACGTTTGAGTGCCAATTTCGTGCAAATCGGAACCAAGCTGCCAGACAAAATGGCCGCTCTTCCTTAAAAAAATGTAATACCCAGGTTCATTCAATTTGATATATCCCAAAGGTCTGGGTTCCTTTCGATATTGGCGCGTATTGGACTGTAACTTTATGACCTCTTATTATACGAAAAATCATTCACGTTTTGAAGAAAGCAGGGGACTGTTAAAATGGGTTCGTCCGTCTGTCTCTCTGTCCGTCCGTCCGTCCGTCTGTCTGTCTGTCCGTCACACTTTTTGGGACACAATAACTCTCTTTCTAATTGAGCTAGAATGTTCAAACTTGGTGTATGTGTTTATTAGGTCAATACCTTGATGGTGTTCGAAGATTAACATTTTCCGCTTGTAAGCGGAGATAAGCAATTTGATTGGTTGATGCTTTGGGACACGATAACTTTAGTTCTAATTAAGTGAGAAAGATGAAACTTGGTGTATAGTTTCATTACATCAATACCTTGACTAAGTTCGATAATGGGCATTTTCTGCTCAGGGTAAGCAGACCGAAAAGCAATTTAATTGGCCAAGATTTTGGAACACAATAACTCTCCTTCTAATTGAGCTAGAATGTTCAAACTTGGTGTAGGTGTTTATTGGGTCAATGCCCTGATGGAGTTCAAAGATGAGCATTTTTGCTAAGGGTAAACAGAGATAAGCAATTTGATTGGTTGATGCTTTGGGACACGATAACTTTAGTTCTAATTAAGTGAGAGTGAGGACTCTTGGTGTATAGCTTTATTACATCAATACCTTGACTAAGTCCGATAATGAACATTTTCTGCTGAGGGTAAGCAGAGCGATAAGCAATTCGATTGGTTGAGACTTTGGAACACAATAACTCTCCTTCTAATTGAGGTAGAATGTTCAAACTTGGTGTAGGCATTCATTAGGTGAATCCCTTGGTGGACTTCGATGAGGAACATTGTCTGCTTACGGTAGGCAGAGATAAGCAATCTGATTGGTTGATGCTTTAGGGGCACGATAACTTTGGTTTTAATGAAGTGAGAGCGATGAAACTCTGAATATGGATTCATTATATCATTACCGTGACTAAGTTCGATTGTGCGAATTTTCTGCCTGGGCTAAGGAGCGATAAGCAATTTGATTGGTCAAGACTTTGGAACGTAAAAACTCTGCTTTTTAATTGAGGTAGAATGTTTAAACCTGATGTAGATGTCCACTAGGTGAATGTCTTGACTGATTTCAATGATTAACATTTCAAGCTAAAGCTAAGCAGAGCTAATCAATTTCATTGGTCGATGCTTTGGGACAAGATAATCTTGATTCTATCTGATAGAGAGTGATAAAACTTAGTGTGTAGTTTGATTGCTCGATACTTTTGAAAAAAATAAATGTGCGATTAATTAATATGTGTCATCTATTTATTTTGGGATTTCGGCGGGGGACATCAGCCTCACTGTTGGCTTGTAACTCTGTAGTAATATCGGACTTCCTTGTTGTGTTTCCTTTGTGATCGTAAATAAAACTACAGGTTAGTCCGTTTCTACAACTTTATTAAAACTGCTGAGCTTCAATGTTCATCTATCATGACTGCTCGGAAAGTCTGGGTGAGCTCTGATGAATTTCGCTCTACACCCTCTTTTATAACTACATGAAGATCTAACAAGTTGTACTCGAAGGTCGTGTCAGGGGTCGTACGAGTGGCTTTTGACCCTATGACGTCATAAATTGATTAATCAATCAGCGTTGACGTTTGTTGTGGTTTACACACAGTTCCACGCATGGCACGCCGTAACAGACCGTTTCATTGGCTTGTCCCCCACTTCACGCAAAACGCCGGTAGTATAACAACTTTTCCAGATCCTAGTGTAGTAAAGACAAGTAAAACGAAATTTTGAACTATAAAAAACGAAAGGAAATAGGATCTGTGTTTTCATCAGATTATGTTTTTTCTATAAATATATAACTAAATTTCAGTAAGTACGTGTGATTTGGCTCTATAGAAAGTGTGAACCAAATAATAAGTTAAAGATACGATGTGGTTGCAAGGACCATACATATAGTATTACAGCTTGTGGGCCATCTAGAGGTCACTATTTTTATCTTATTTTCAAAACCGTTCAGAAATAGGCTTATCACCGTTACATAATTATGGTTGAGACCGAATTTCGTGAAAATCCGACCGACACTTTCAGTCAAATGGCCGCTCCCTTTTACGCAAACAGTATAAAAGCATCTAATTCCCAGGTTGTGGACAATCTAGAGGTCACAATTGTCTTGAATGAAGTTTGTGGACCTTCCAGAGCGATGATTTTTGTCCGATTCATAAGATTAAACTTAAACTATGTGTTAAGGATCAAAGTTCTTGGATGAGTTCGACTTTGGTACGCAACAGACTTTACTTTCTAGAGCTATATCTGCTTTTTACGCAAAATGTGAAATGTCTATGAATTTTGTAGACCCTCTTAGGAAACTTAACAAACATGTTAAGGATCAACAAATCTTGAATGAGAGGATGAGCCCTATTAATTTTACCTCTAACATTTTTTGCAAAATGTGCGTGTATGGCAATCGCGTGTTTGAACTTGTCATAACTGATAGCATTGAATTATTTGATGGATAAGGGGCACAAGGAAAGAGTGGAAAAACTCTATCACGTCGTCTTTTTATTTAATTACCTAATCTGTCGTAGATACAACGGAAGTGAGATGGGGTTGAAATAAAGATCGACTGTTCTGTTAACTAATAGTGACCCTCGCAACTGGGGGGGGGGGGGGTCTCTCAACTCAGGGATCAAAATAGAGCATAGCAGGGTATTCTTCCGAAAGTCTACGTTCTAGAATCAGGCGTTGTTGTATCTAACCGCGTGCAATAACCTGAAGAAGAGTAGTTGCGCCCCCCCCCCCCCACGCCGCCGGGCCTGTATTTTGATGAAAATGGCAAAGTTTAAAATTCCGGGCAGGAGAAGGTACAGGACTATATCACTATAACCAAGGGTTAAGGACGACAGAGTTTGAAATAATATTTGTAAATCAAAAGTGGATAGATTTTGAAATCGCCTCTTCTTTATTCACCACATTTTGTATTACGTTTAGTTTCCATTGAAAAGTGCCATTAAAAGTAATTATATGCTTGGAAAACTGGACACACTTCGGGTATAATAGGTTTATTTGTACGGTGCATAAAATGGCAGGGGCGGTTTCGGGGGTGGGGGGGTCCAAACGCCACCCTGCTCAGCTGCATAAAACAACATTTTATGAGAAAAGTGTAACAGTCGTGTGCTTTATCCTTTATCATCAGATGGTGGGATGGGGTTGAAATTCAAAGCGCGAAATAATGATATAGACATGTGTGATTTCACAATGAATGCTTTGCATCAATGAAATTGAATCACAAAATGATCCTATTAATATATTATAAAAATTGGCGTCAAACGGGGTGTTGTTGGATTTCTCTCTTTAAAAAGCTCAGTATATATGTATGCCTACGTAATTTGGAGACGAAGAGTCAACTGTCAAATTTCCTTAAAGGGAGTCTTGCAAACCTCCTGCAATTCCTTTACTTACTTACAGAAAATAACAGATCACTATTATGATTGTAACAGGGAAAAACAAAAGCTATATCTGAACTAAGTTTTTTTTTTATGGTTCTAAAAGGTAGTCAATGATTCTACAAAATGACTAAAGGTAATAACTCTTGACGCAATGAAAACAAATATCAGTGGTGTCATCGAATGATAAATGTTTTAGTTGAAGTGTCCACAAGATTCTACAATATTTCCAGAAGTCAAAAGTGGAAATTGATGGGATCGCCTTTGTTGCTGGAGAGTTCTTTGATTCTCTTTAATCTGAACATATATCAAGCCGATCGGATGATAACTATTGCTGCTACAGTCCGAAATCTTTTTGTCGTTATTAAACTATTCTGGCTAAAGCATTTACAAAACTATTGAAGGATGGCACCAATATTTGTGTTTATTTAAATGACGCCGCTCATTTGTTAGACAATGTTCTGGACGAATTCAAGACAGAACTCGATACCGGAAAGCATGTAGAACTCCATATGGCTTATATATTTTATTTAACTGTAATGTTTCTCACAAATTTCTAATATGGCAGTTGCTAGAATTTGATATTCGTCTATAGTATTATAGATATGGGCTGAAATTCTCACACATATCACACCTTCTATACACTTCATGGGCACCTGGAAAATAGAGATCAACATTATTGGGATCTATCTGAAAATAATTTTGTAAACACATAATATATGAAAGTTATAAAGACGATGTCGTAACTAAATATGCTTTTAAAAAGTC